CCGTGACGAAACGAAAGAGTCAAGTTAAAAAAAAAAAAAAGCTCTAGCGATGCTTCCGGCCGTAAATGTTACTAGTTCTCATTCTCAGCGCTATAAATACTTTCTTAGAGGGTGAAGGGAGACGAAGGAATAGCAACGATGTGTTTTCATCGTAAAATGAAGCAATAGTAAAGTATAGATATATCACGCTTATAGTCAACGATTCGGTCCCTTCTTTTTTTAAATCGATAATTTGATTTCTTGCTCGAGGATATATGCATACGAATGCACAATCAGTTCCGTTTCATTTATTATTATTCTTGCAGAATTTGTAGAGACGTAGTCGAAATTGATCTCGAACGAACAATTAGATTTGCGCAAGCTTCCCAAGTTGGCGCAAGTTGGACAATATAAGCAAATAAGCGAATAGAAATTTAAAAAAGGGAACTCTTGAAATTGAAAAAAAAGAATTCGTTCGAATAGAACGAGATAGAATGTACAAAATATTTTTACTTGGAATGGAGTACTTATATAGAAGAAATATAAAGATGATATCATAATTAAAAACGATAGCTTTAATTTCTCTGTTTAGATAGTTACAATCCATTTTGCTCGTTAATTTGTTGAGATGATTAAAATGAATTTGTTATTTATTGATCGTTTGCAAAACTGATCGTTACAATGAAAGAGATATGGCCTGCATCCATTATTATACAAATGTACGTATGTTATTATTTATTATCGAAGAGTTTCACCAGAACAGAGAGAGAATATTTATTAATATACGTATAGGAAACTTGGGGGAAAAAAAAGAGTATAAATATAACGTTAAAGTAAAAAAAAAAAAAAAAAAAAATATAATTATATGAAGAACAAAGCGTATATTATATACATATATATAAATATATAAATATATATTTAGCGTTGAGATTTTAAAATACAAAACACAAACCCATGAAAGTACATGCTTTTTCAAGTATTCGTGCGAACGGTTGTCATTTAGTTCGTCGAATTACCTTTATATACTGTTGAAAATTGATCTTATTATATAGTTGATGAAGTCTTTTTAGAAATTAGTTTTCGTAGTTTATCGAAACGCGTTTACGTCTTTCATGCGACACATCTTTTTAGAAGAATTCTATTCGATAGTTCGTTAGTTAGCTCATCACTTCGATATTGGTTCGTTTCATTGATTGAAAATAAAATACATCATTAATCATAAAATAGATTTGTTTCTTTTTTTAAATGGAACGAATAAAAATATTTACGATAATTTTGCTCCTGTGAGAAACGACGAAAAAAATCTCAATCTGTTCGACAAAGAGAATAAAAGGCAACACTTAAGAACCGAATGAATTCTATATAGATTTTTCGATTCACTCGCCACTGAGGTAAAGAATGAAGATTACTTTATAAATATAAGTAAATACAAAATATTTAGGTATATATTTAAGAAAGGATACCTAAATGTATTTATTGTATTAAATCTACGAATTTACTTAACGCTTTCTTTTTCCCGTCGATACTTACCGAGCCGATAGGTCGATAGATATTCACGAGAAATCACAAGAACGAACGAACGAGATATAAGAAAGCGTAGAAAAAAACGTGAAATATCCAGAGAACGTGTTAAGAGAGGCAAAGGATCGATGCAATATTGTTTAATTGATAGAATCGATATTTAAGTCAATCTTTAACGATCAATATCTTAATGATATATCGATTTAAGATTGACGAGAGAGAGAGAGAGAGAGAGACGAAGATTCGTTTGAATTATTATGTAAAATCGAACGAAATCACGATGCATTAAACAGTATTATAAGCTGGCAGAGGGTATGTATTTTTAAAAGAAAAATATGAAATGAAAGAGATAACAAACAACCATTCATCTGACCATGATTACCGATACCTGCAGAAGAGACACTTTATCGAATCGTTGTTGTTAATTGTCTACAATTTTATCGGCGTTATACATTTTTTTAATCACCAGTCGTTGATATTGTCGACTGAATGGCTGATTTTACTTCGATGAATTCACTCTTGTATTTTATCGTAATTAAAAAAAAAAATGAGAATATAACGTCATGCACACATATACATACACAGGTACACCAAAGATTTAAAGAGGGGGGGGGGGGGGGAAAAAAATAATATATTTGTACAGGCAATGAATTTATCTAAGTAGAAATCTCGAATCTTTAATCCGCATACAAATACACGTACACTTGGCAAACTTAGGAATTTCACATCGTTGTGAATGTAAATGTAAGTGGTCGCCATATCAGTGCCGTTAATTAACTACGGTTTTGTATATTCTTGTGCCCATTTCCTCCATCTACTCATCAAGAATCGAAAATTTGTAAATAAGAAAATATATAGAATATGTTCGCCATTTTATCGATGTGAGAATTATTTGAGATTTAAAATGTGTAATTAAAGTGTTACATTCTATTCCTGTGACATTGTTATTGCATATTTTATGCTGTTATAAATCATTGTTACACACTGTATTGTAATTTAATACGTTGTTGCACATATGCACTTTAATTCCTATATCTATGCACTAGTAGCGAGATGCACGATGCACTGTTGCACTTTTCGATGCACTTAATTAAAATTTTTTTTTTTTAATTTTCAAACCAAAGCACCAAACTAGATGAAATCGGCACAAGTATAATTAACGTTGGTCAATTCCTTTTCTTGTGATTTATCAAATTGATCCAGGGCTCATCAACCCTGATCTCGTTATCGTTAATTATTAGTCTTAAGTTGAAGCAACAACAAAGTCCGACGTCTTCCAAAATGAAAAAGAGAGAGAGAAAGAGAGAGAGAAAAAATCAGAGCAGCTATCCTTATATCATAAAATTGTATGTAATTAAGCAAAGAAAAAAAAAAAAAGAAGAAAACGAGAGTACATTTATATATATATATATAAAAATAGATGAGAAGAAAATTATATATAAATAAATATATATATACATGTATGTACACGTGTGAGCAAAACTCTCCTTGACGACAAAATGAGCGAAAGAATATGGACTATGTAAAGATCTATGCGGCGTTGTAGTGATGATCGCTGACACGTCGTGATTCTATGACAAGTATCATCTAATTGACCCTATTATCCACTGTATATCAATGTCTAATAAACTGCTGTTATCCCAAATTGTCAATAAGTGTTATGTGTTATTGTTTGTATCCTATCATCAATACAAAAAAATTATTTGAAACAATCACCACGAATTTATAGGCTATTAAAATTGATGTATTATTTGAAAATATAAAATATATAAATTGATGTAATATTTGAAATATTTTAAATATATTGGGAATATTATATCATTTCTCTTAAATAACAAAATATGGATAGACGAAATATTTTGAAGAACTAAAATGAAAAAAAATAGTAAAGAATTGCTCAATTAGATACATGGTATATTAATTCGATATTGAAAATTTCTAATAAAATGATAAAAAAGGAGAAACAAGATGGAAAAAATTAGGAACCAGT